TTGGAGCGTTGTTGCCGGAGAGCTGCTGCCGGAGCACCACTGTCGGACCCCTGCCAGCCATCGCACATTGCTGTGAACTACTGCAAATCGATCGAAATTCACCACAAAACGCTTCGGGCACTCGGATCCAACGCATATATAATGAAACCACACCGAAAGAAGCAAGGGATAAGTGGAATCGTGCGGTCAACCGCCGCGGATCTCCTTTTTCTTCAACTATAAGTCGTCACGTGACTCCTCCAGGACTCCAATCGGACAAGTTGCAGGGTCATCTCGACTCTTCTGCTTATCGTGAGGAGAGCTACGCACCGTCACAGACCGACTCGCGTAAGTCGGTGGCAGCCGCAATTTCTACTCACATGTCTCTTTCTCTCTTCGTGCAACCCTTTTTCTCTCTATGTTTTCTCTCTCCTTTCAGATTTCTTCCCTTTATCCTTTAATAGACGAGAGGACAAAGAGCCCTGCATGCCACTTCTTCCTTCTTCTTCAGCGTGTAGGTTTCGACCTCCATCATCTTCTTCAGCGGCTAGAGGCATGCACGCATCTGGTTGCCTTAATTTTTTTTTCTTTATCAGTCACCAAAATAGCGTCGTTTTGATGCTCTTAAAACGACATCATTTTACTTGCCTCTATTTTTCCTTCATTTATATCAAAACGACGTCGTTTTTGGAGTTTCCCAAAACAACATTATTTTGGCTTTTCCTGCTTTTAAGAAGTAGGTGGGTTGGGTTTGTTTATCTCGGGTTGGGTTGTTCCAATTAAAACTATTGATTTTCACTGTTAGGTTCATGTTCACTTTGATAATGTGTGTACTAAAATTATGTACTTACTTTTTTGGCTCCACTTTTTAATGTTTTGTTTATTTTTTTAAAACAATCATCAACACCGGCTAAAATATAAAAATATACCTAAGTATTCTTGTATTAAAGAGAATGCATTATATCTTCTCATGTTTCAGTCCCTATGGTTATATATATAAGTCATTTATCAAGATTCTTTTCTCTAGTCAGTTATGTTTTGTAAGTAAAGTGACTTCATACTAGAAGATTCTTTGTTGTAAGTGTTATAGGCTAAACATTGCATACATTCAACCTATGTTTGACACTTTTATATGCACCACTCCTAATAGTTTCATGGTTTATCTCTCTACTTTTTAGTATTTATGTTGTCTTATGTCTTTGACTTTCCATATTCATGACTTTTTTGTTTAGATTTATAATGTTTACCCTTTAGACTTGTTTAGTTCAAGATATTGTCTAAATAAATATATATATATAGATATGTAATTCATTATGGCTTCTTACTAAACACACTATTGGTGGAAACTTATTCTAACTCTCCTTACTTCAAGGTATTGTATTTTGTTATTACTTTTTTAGTACACTTTTAGCTCCAATTTTTTACGGCTCTCGTTGGTTAAAGATATGTTATTTGATTTATGTTCTAAGGGCATTATCTCAAAAGTGGGTTTCTCTTTAATAAAGCAAGAGAATGTTGATTAAACTAGTTGGACCTAAAATATGAAGCCATATAACCATTTTGTGTAACATTCGTTTTTGAATCATATCTCATTTATAAATGCGAGTAGCGGTGCTAATGACCTTGATGATCTCCTCTGTTGTCTCTTTATATAAGTTTTAACTTCATACAATCTTTTTAATTCCATAACTAAAGTATAATTTTCTCCCTTAAAATATTTAAAATAAATTAATTTATTTAATTATTCCATAATATACAGAGAAAGGATATATTATTGTTCTTTTTTTTTTTTTTTTATACGGCGCAGTATATATTAGTCTTTTGAGACAAAATAGTCAAAATTTAAATTTCTAACACAGATGGAACTTGAATAAAGAATTAAAATTTGTTAGATTTTAGTAACAACTAAAACAAAACCAATTTTATTGAGTACGGTACTTTTATATATATTCTCTTTCTTTCAATTGAGTTCATATATAAATTTTAAAATATAAAAAGTGGGTCTATCAGTAATTTCTTTTAATACAACAACATAATATATATTTACTCCTTGTGTTAATTAAGAATCAAATCTTTCACGTCTTGGGTGAAAATGGAGAAGTACCACTTCACGAAAATGTAAAAGTATTTTCAATAATTTTCTTAAAAGTTAGACTTTGACTCCCCATTTGAGTTTGCATATATATATAGACGGGGGAAGTAACTGGCGAGTCTGTAGGCTTACAGCTTTTTTTTTTTTTTTTTTGGTTTTTTTGAATGGAAATATTTACCTTTCCGGTTAAAAATTATTCTCGTCTGTCAAAAAATTGAAGAGTGAAAATGACACCTTCACAAAATTTAAAACCAAAAGGACAAAACGAAAAAGAGATTGCAACGTGAAGCAATCCAATTGGAAGGATGATTAACCTTTTTATTATGATCGAATTAATTTTCAGTTTCTTAAAGTAGCTTTTTTTTTTTAATAAAAAGAGAAAAAGAAAAGGAAGAAACATATATCTATTCGGGAAGATTTGATGTATATAACAAGATATGATTAGCCAAGCACACGACCATTACTTTTGAATGTTAATGATGGAGATATTAGTTATAATAGTGATGCTTTTTTTCTAATAACTTTAATCTTAATTATAGAGATGGGGTTTATAATATATATATATACACACACACACCCCCAAAAATAAAAAAGTTACCCAGAGTATCTCCCTTTTTGTTCTAACTCAAAATAGACTTTTTCAACGTAATAATTACCCACTAGAATAAAAGAAAGTTTGGAAATTAACAAAAAGGGAATAAACAGACATTAAGCAAAGCTTGATTGGTAATTACACTTAAATCTTCAAATTAACAGTTAATGATAATTCTGTTTGGTAGTCGACAATGGCAATTTGACTTTTAGCTGGAGAAGAGAGAGGGAGACGCAGGATCTGCAGGGCAGAGCAACAGTGAAAGGTGTGAAGAAACATAAAAGATAGAAAAATCTAATAATTTAAAAAATTAAATAATTTGGAAGGGAAGTTGAGATTCTTTAAAAGACAAGTTGGTTGGTTATTGGCCGTTAAGTTTCGTGTCAAATGACAAATATGTCCTTGTCCGGCGAATAATGGGAAAAGAGCATCTTACAAAGAAATTAAAAGATATTGTGAATTTCTTTGTCTTTTTAAGTTTTATTATGCCTATCCTTTTTCTTTTTCTTTTTCTTTTTTCTCGATTTTATCAAATACTATATTAAGACAAAATGATTTTGAATAAGAAGAAAAAAGACAAATGGGTTGCATGTGCATTGCCAGAGTTAATAAAGCAAAATCCCCAAATATCATGTGGCCACGAACTTGACAAAACACCCAATAGATATATTATTAACCCCAAAATTGTGTTTTTAAACAATAAAACAAACAAGGTCTTAAAAAGTTTTTCTTTTCTTTTCTTTTCTTACCCATTCGTAACAAGTCTCATTCAGTTTCAGGGTGCGAGCACCCAAAAAAAAATCCATAACAAGTGGTTCAAAAAATATAGAAACAACACCCATATATCTCAAATTTGATGCACTATTTTTATCTGTTGAAAAATAAATATGTGAATATATATATATATATTTGGTTTGAAGATGATTTTGAGCCTCTAGGGAGTTGTGAAAATTGGGAACCCCACCTCCCCAATACCACGCAATCAATAAATAAAAACTCAGCCTTTCTACCAATTCATTGGGCTAGACATGTATAATAATAATCTAATTACTTATCAAACATGAGGGGGCATATATCATAGCAGTTGTGTAATTTAGTCCTTAAATTTCAGATTATTATTATTATTATATTGTAAATGTGAAGCGTTTTAACACAACCAACTCATAAACTTCATTCCATTATATAAAGAGATAATCATTTCCTGTGCTTTAGAGTTCATAAAAATGTATATAGAATGTGGCAAAATGTCAAATGGATTGACTTTTACTACATTGAGGTTCACCTAATATGTTATTATTTTGCTAACAGCTCAAAAGTAATTCAGCTTTTAATTTAATTTACGGTTTTAAATCTTTTGATTATACATATTGAATAATGAAAATGAAGGAAGTAAATGCTGAAGAATTGAGTTGAAAAAAGAGATGCAAAAAGATTTTTGTTCGTGATTGGGCTTTGAAATTGAAATAATAAGTCCATGTATTAAAGACAGGCAGACTAACCCACCACGTATATAATTAACTTGATTAATAATCATAATAATACCGATAATCGCGGCCCTCTGCTTACGCTAATCAAATTACCGTCCAAGTCCAAATCAAATCTTATCCTCCCATATTAAACAATTAATGATGTCAATATTTGTATCCACATCCCATCATCTCTAATAACACAAAAAGTATGAGATGGTAATTGAATTTAAGAAGCACGTGCTTAATTTTCCACAAAGTAATAATTTCTGTTTGTTGAATTAAGCAATTCTAAAGTTACCCAAAGCAGCTATTTTATATATTTATATTTATATATATATATATTTATTTATTATTATTATTATTACGTCCATTAAATTCATTTACCGGAAAGCGGTTGCTATTTAATTCACCTAACCACATTTATGGATTAACTACTACTACTAGTCAGTCAGTCATACTAAACGGCTGCGTTTCGACAACCAACTCTAACGTCTCACTTTGTGTACTGTTGCACATGTACTTGCAGCCCCATGTGCCCCTGCAGAATTTTCTCCCTTTTTCTCTAACAAACATATTGTTTTCTCCAAGACAGCGTAAATATCAATTTGTATCATGGAGAGAAGAGGGTGTTTTCCTAAATACAAAACTGCTGCTGTCCCACTTGGATTTGATTTGATGCTAGTTTTCTTTTCAGAAAGCTACAAAACCACACGCTTTTAGCTTTCAAAACTTCTCACACCTGCCTCCCCTTGTTCTTCATTTTTCATTTTATACCTTTTTATTTTTTTAATAAATAAAATTAATTTTTGGTCCCAACCTCCCAGAGGAAGTATAAAGTTGTATAAGTTCCCTCCAACCCCCTCCCAAACTTTCTCCACCCAACACCCTCTCGCTTCTTCAACCTCATTTACTTCAAAGTCCTCTTTATGTCCCGGATAATGGCTTCTTTAATATTTCTGCTTTTGACTTCTCTTGCTGTGGTCTGCCCTGTTCATGCATACGGCGGAGGAGGATGGACTAATGCCCACGCCACCTTCTATGGTGGGGGTGATGCCTCCGGCACAATGGGTATATATAATATATACATGTTTCGGCCATTTTCTTCAACAATTTTTTAAGGAAGAACTCCTCAATGAGCTGAAATTTTTGCTTCATTTCTGCAGGTGGGGCTTGTGGTTATGGCAACCTGTATAGCCAGGGGTACGGTACAAACACTGCAGCTTTGAGCACTGCTCTCTTCAACAATGGTCTGAGCTGCGGGTCTTGCTATGAGATTAGGTGCGTTAACGACCCAAAATGGTGCTTGCCAGGCTCCGTTGTGGTCACCGCCACCAATTTCTGCCCACCAAACAATGCTCTGCCAAATAATGCTGGTGGCTGGTGCAATCCTCCTCTCCAACATTTTGACCTCTCCCAGCCTGTTTTCCAACACATTGCTCAGTACAGGGCAGGGATTGTTCCTGTATCTTACCGAAGGTAAACTCTTAAATCCTTAAATCCATGACTGATTTTCTTTCATTTTCTTCGAAACAAAACCCTTTTCTAACCAGTGCTCTTATTTGATATGTTGTATTTTAGGGTACCCTGCAGGAGAAGGGGAGGAATCAGATTCACCATCAACGGCCACTCATACTTCAACCTGGTACTAATCACAAACGTGGGTGGTGCTGGAGATGTGCATGCGGTGGCCATCAAAGGGTCAAGGACAGGGTGGCAAGCTATGTCAAGGAACTGGGGCCAGAACTGGCAGAGCAACAGCTACCTCAATGGCCAAGCCCTCTCCTTTAAGGTCACAACCAGTGATGGCCGCAGCGTGGTCTCCTACAATGTTGCCCCATCTGGCTGGTCCTTCGGCCAAACTTTCACCGGCGCCCAATTCCGCTGAGATTCAGACACTATCAATTGTAGTACTAAGCAAGGTTGTAGTAGGGTATTTAGGTATATACAAAGTATGAGAAGAGAGAGAGAGAGAGAGAGAGAGAGAGAGAGAGAGTATATTATTGCATCATATTTGGGCCTCTATTGGGTCAGAATGATATGGGCTATAATTTTACATGAGGCTCTTGTATCATTTTGGGCTCATCCAAACATTATAAGGGTATCTTTATTTGTGGGGGTCCCTTGTTATTGGTCATGGGGTCTTTTTCCTTTTTTTTGTTTAAATATTTTTCTTCTGTAGTAACAGAAGAGGGCAGAGGTGGTCATTTACCTACCACCCGCCACCGATATAATAGGGGGTTTGGATGCTTATGTTTTTTATGTTCTCCTTTTTGGAATTTTGGAAGGGAACAATTTATTTTAGGTTGTAAGGTGATTGTAATCCAGCTTTGGCCTAGTATTCCACTTTCCTAATATATATGCCTAAATTTTACCTACTTCGAAGAACCCAAGTGTAAATTTACGTTTCTTGCCAGTAATGCGAGTAGATAATTAGTTGAAAATTGAATACATTCTGACAATATCAAACATCCATTAATCTGATTTGACTAATCAGACTGGCCGCCCTCTCTGACAATATCAAATATTTTAAATAAGTTTTTGTCTGAAAAATTTGTTTTCCTCACTTCAAATCCATGGATTCGACGCCCTCTCCATCTTCTTCCAAACAACTGTCTCCTTTCTCACAAGCCCTACTCCACCACGGAGCCCCAAGATCTCTTCAATTTAGGAGCAGAAAAGCTTTAAGGACCTGTTCCGTTGGGGAGAAGAGACGGTGCTGGTGTTGGAAAAGAAATTTCGGGAGTTGGTTTTCCGGTCTTCCTGTTTGGGAAAATTGGTCAAAGCAAATAATACTACGAGGCTGTTGCATAACACAATCTGTAAAGATTCTGCATTAAAAATAAGAAACAAACACAGAAAAAACCAGACAGATAGATAAAGCGCGAAGAGAAGACAATGGCTTTGTGAGAAAACTCTAATAGGATTGAAGTATTTGTGATTCCAGATAGTTCGAACGAGAGAAAGCAAGCTATTTATACCACCAATAAATAAGGGGGACATGTACAGGGATACAGCCTGTCGATGCTATTTTTAACTTAATACACATATACTTACATGTATACACGTTAACAACACGTTCCCTAAATGGCACACTGCAATCCATTTTCTTGCTCACTCGTGTTAATATTTGTGTTGCTTCAATTTGAAGGAGAGAAAGAAAGAAGATGATTTATATCTGAATTGGGTGGATAAGGAGATTATGTTTCTTACTGACGTTCTTATACTTTAATTTTTTTAAACCTTGCTGGATTTTGGAGGGGAGAAGTGAAAATGAAAATGACACAGACATGAGAAGGGTTCTTCAATTCTCATGCTAATCTCATTAATACAAAATATAAACTTATGTTTGTCTCATATCTAAAACTAGTAAAAAGGTTAGGTGTTAGAGCAACTATAGTCACTACCAACCAGTTTTTATGTTCTTCAGAAATTGATTGACTCCTACTATTGAATTTTATTTTATTAACAATAATATGCTCAGTAAGTCAATTAAGTGATGTGTATAAAAGATGTTATTTTAATAGTTTCTTTTTTAAATAGAAAATTACAATGATTGTCTTATTTAATTTTATATTATCGCAAACTCTCAATAATAAATATATATTAAACTATAACATATATATATAATAATTTGGAAAATATTTCTTATTCAGTTTTAAGAAATGAGATGATATTTAACATAAAAATTTGTTGAAAATTCTGTCTGGGGGGGGTTAGGAAGTGGAAATGAAAAATGGGAAAAGTGAACAAAAAAAAAAGAGAGTGATGATGAAAAGACAAAAAATGTCCATGGTTTAGAGGGTTGAGGAGGAGGAGGAGGAGGAGGAGGAGAAGAGAGTGAATTTAATGGAAGGCTCCAAACATAACGGAAAAACGAGCGGTAAAGTTAAAGCTAGTTGTGGGTATGAAGAGCGGTGAAGGGCGGAGTGGTTGGTTTGGGCGGGTGTGTTGTTTGGGACGCGCCAAATTTCTAACGATCCCTATTCTCCAGCTACACCATGACCGTTTTTCTCGCTCACCCGGTCGTCTTAACGTAGCCTATTTCTGTGCTTTACAATCATCTCTTTCTTTCTCTCTCTCTCTACCTCTGGTTTCTCCTTTCGGCTGCTTATGTCCTTCCTTTAAGACCTTTAGATCATGCCCCCTCCGCTTGTCGTTTGATTTGCTTATTTGAGTAAGTTCCCTTTTTGCTTTTTAACACCAAAACACCCTTTGGATTTTTCAGGGGAAAACGGATAATAAACATGTCTTTTCTTCTCTTCAACTTGCTCGGTATTCTCTTTTTGTGTTCCTGCCCCTCTCTTTTTAAACCTTTTTCTCTTCTTTTTCATTCTCCCTCAACCCAATTCTTTTTACTTTCTTTCAACTCGTTTTTCCACTTGCCCTGTCATGCAAATTATTGTAAACTCTTCGTCTGATTGGATTAACTAGTTTATTATTTTCACCTGGTGTGATGATCGGAGATCCGAGATATTTTCTTTGTTGTTATCAAGGGGGTGGGATCAAGAGCTAAGCTGTTCCCATTTGGCTATATGTGTGCAGGATGGGAAGGGTTAAGTTGAAGATAAAGAGGTTAGAGAATATCAATGGCCGTCAAGCGACCTATGCCGAAAGGAAGCATGGCATCATGAAAAAGGCTAATGAATTATCAATACTCTGTGATATAGATATTGTTCTCCTTATGTTTTCCCCCACATCGGGTAAACCTTCGTTATGCACCGGAAGACGCAGGTACCCTCTTCTTTTATTTTCTTAATTATTTGCATATGTGGAATCGAATTGATTTTTAACACAGCCGAATCACAAGGCTAAGAAAGCTTGATAAAACATCAAATGGGGTTTTTCCAATGTGGAGAAATGATCGTCGTAGGCTGTACTTTTTTGTTTCGAAGATTCATTTAAATGCGTTTCAGATAATAACCATGTGATTACAATCAAGTAGCGAGGCAATTTCGTTTGTCAGGACTCAGATAGCTAAGTAGCTCAATAATTCAATAAATGAGAACTAAGCTGCTTCTATTAGCTAATGTGGCAACTATGAGGCTGATTTTATATAGAGCATCACTAGAAAATGATTTTTTTATTGCCTTGAGGGGGATCCTTTTAGTATTAGCATTTACCTCTACTCTCCATTTCTCGAAAGTTTTTGGTAATATTTACAAAAAGAAAGAGGCGAAGTTATTGGGGATATTTTGTAGATATATTGATATTGTTCACGAATGACATTTGCAATACACCTCAAGTTCAAAGCATTCGTCAATCTTGATTGTTCATCGTAGTGTCTTTCAGCAACTGTTCACATCGCACATTTTAGTAATGAAAATAATCCCGTTGCTCAAACATAAACAGGATTAAACATGGCCTATTTAGTGGGGACCAGGAACCTGTTCTTTCATGTAAAGTACTGCACTTTGAGATGACAGACACTTGAATATAATATAACATTGATATCTTAAAACGGAAGAATCACTTTGTAACAAACACATGCTGGTTCTTTGGAATTGTTCATAAAGCTCATTCTACAATGTGTTTAATATAAAGTAATTCTCTTGTCCATTATGATTGCACTCAAGCATGTAAACTCTTTTGAAATGGTATTGTTGTTTGCAGTGCTGTTGTTATTAAAGTCTCTTTACTCTTTTTTGATATTTTAGTAGCATCGAAGAGGTTATTGCAAAATTTGCTCAGCTAACTCCTCAGGAAAGAGCAAAGAGGTACAGCCAAAACTTTCGCTCACAAAAAATCATATAGTTAATTTTCATGTTTCTGATTTGAATTTATGTGAGACTGAATGTGAAGAAATTTTCTCTGCAATTGGAACAGGAAGTTGGAGAGCCTTGAAGTAAGTTGTTTCCTAGAACCAATTTTTCCTTTTAGTACTAGTTTCCTTTTATGCCATTCTGTCGGTCGAAGCATACGCATTTTAGTTCTCATCTCATATATAATTTTTTGTTCTCTTTGAGAGTTTAGGCCTTGAAGAAGACTTTTAAGAAGTTGGACCATGATGTAAATATACAGGAATTTATGGGTACAAGGTATGTGCCTCTGTTATTTGACATGGTTGAATTAAATGGTTTTTGTGTGACTAAATCTGACAATACCTTTTGTTTTTGGTCTACTCTCGTTTCAGTAACCAAACAATAGAGGTACTCATGCTAAACCAGTTACCTCCAAAATTTTGATTATGATTTAAATTCTTAGGTGTTTGCCTTGCTAATAAAAACTATATGTTCTGAAAATAAATTGTGCCTGGCAGGACCTGACTAACCAAGCAAGGTTGTTGCAAACTCAACTTTCTGAGATACATAGGAGACTGAGGTGAAGTCCTGCAAATATCTGATTGTAAACTTTCAGTTTTTGTTTTTTTTTTTCTCATTACATTTAAGCTTGATTAATGCTTGGCTTTGGTTGGTCATCTCATTAGTTTTCTTTTTTTTTTTTTCTGAGTTCTGCAGCTACTGGACTAACCCTGAAAAGATCAGTAATGTCGAACATTTGGAGCAAATGGAAAATTCACTCAGAGAATCTCTTAACCAAATTCGTGCCCATAGGGTATGGTTATAATCCATCTGGCTCATATTCTGCAAAGAAGTTTATTTGGATACGCCAGATAAATGTTTGGCATACATTACAAAATTTGATAGGCAAGGGTTATCAAATAAACCAATGTGGTTAAAGGTTCTGAACTAGTAAATATGTCTGGTCTACTTATTTCTTCTCTTATCTAAAAATATGCCTGGTCACTTTTAGTAACTGAGGTCATTAGATTTCTATTTAATTAGGACCTAAATTATACAATTGTTAACCGATCTTCTGGAGGTCTAGGGTTCTCATTAAAATTGATCCACATGGTTGTACAGATGATGTGGTTATCCAATAACTTCTAAGGAGAATAGTTTCGTAGAAGGGTACATCGAAGGCATTACTATTTATTTTCCAGTAGCTACAGCATTCAGGATTTTGTTCAAGCACCAAACGGAAGGAATAGCTGGTGGTTGAAGGAATATAATAAACAAAGGATTTCTAGGAACTAGCTATCCTTCTTCATTAAAGTATTAAAAAGCTAACAACTATCTATCTCTTGTTTACCACCAATTTATAAACTCTGCACTAAAATTCTTCTTCTTTCTTTGACAGGAAAATTTAGGTAAACAGCAGCTGATATCCTTAGAGTGCACCAGTCAGGTAAAGGATAGTTTGCATGCTCTTTAGTTTGCTGATGGCTTTCCTTGGAATGGTAATGGGGCAAAATTATGTTTACAAGCCGTATCTTGTGCAGATCCAACCCAGCATGCATATGCCTTTCGGAATGGGTGCTGAACAACAGCTTCAACCTCTATCATGGATCCCTAATAATGAAAACAGAAGTATTGCTTTACCAGAGGAGCCAAATTTGCTTCCCCATAGGTAAGTGGGCCTTCTAGAATTCTTGTTTTAATCTTTTGCAGATTTTTATTTTGGATAAAAGCTCTTACTAAAAAACTCTTCAACCTGGTGCAAGATTATGCCTGAGGAAAGATCATAGGTTCAAATCTTCAAAATGACTAAAGATCTAAAATAAATCAGAGAGAGAGAGAGAGAGCAAGCAGACGGGAAAATTTGAAACCATAAACAGCATGAGATATATGTGTTTATTATGATATGGCAACAATGTTCAAAGTTCAAACTGTTATGCATAAAAATTGCACTATTGAATATTATTTAAATGCTATGGGGCCTTTGTTTGTCTTACGAATTTAATGTTTTCTTCTAAAGGGATGTGGAATGCTCTGCAAGTTCCTCCTTCGGTAGTTATTCTGGTTACTTTGGCACTGGTAAAAGTTCAGACATTTCTAATTCAGGGCAAGAAAGTTGCATCCTAAACGATCTAACTGGCACCGCACAACTGAGGCTGCAAATGAATGGGCACTATCCCTACCTTCCTTACAATCTTAATTTGCTAAATGATACAAAGTTTCAACCACTGGCAGATATAAACTTACAGGAAACCCATGTGGATTATCATGTTAATGGAATCTTGGATGCTCCTAGGCCAGGGTATGACACCACCCAAGCTAGCTGGGCTTCCACATCTGGGCCTTGTGCTGTTACTGTGTTTGATGACCCTTTATTTGGCCGAGTAAGTTTACCCTTCATATGAGAGTGATTCTCAAATAAATGTTAACTCGTTGACATACTCTCACATGGTTCCCCAATATCTGCACTTCTAAGCTTATCTGAATATCTGCTTAAGTTATGTCTGTGCATTTTGTTCGGTAATCTGGATGTAAAAAGAGTTCCAGAAATCTTCTCTGGAATTAAATTAACTCAGTTCAGAGTTCATCTAGATGTAGCATGAGTCATATCACTAGGAGATATTTTAAAATCCAATTCCACTTAAATTGTTTTTGTTGACTATCTTTTTTTTTTAAATGTAGCAACCAAACTGAGGTTCAAGAGCAATGTCACTGTTAATCCAATCTACCGATAAGGTTGCTGGAGAACTCCTATACATGTCGAATCTTCTCAAGAATGACAAGTGAGCCTGCTGAGTTTTTGATGGTTTTCTTTTGCAATTGCAAATTTGGGAATTGGCTTATTTATGAGACATGTATAGGATCATAATTGCAGCAACATAGGAGTATATAATGCCCAGACAGTGATGACTTGCCAAAACATATGGTGCTGACTCTGCGGAATGAGGCACCATATTTGAAATATCAAAAGAAATTTTTTTTCTTTTTTCTGTATACAAATTACACCTAAATAATAGGATTATGTGAGGTCAATTTTTTGCTTCCTCCTTTTGATGATAAAAAATGTGTAGGTCCTTGTGGTGGCCGGGATACTCCTTCCCCTCCTACATCTTATTAGTTACCCAAAGCTGTAAATAAAATACATATATAGCTATGGCTTGAACAACAATTCCTCATGCATGTAAATGAAGACATATATTAATTCAATTGATTTTTACTTTTTATTTTTTTATTTTTTTTATTTTCTTGAGTTACCAACAGAAGATTCATTCTATCTGGTGCAACTTTTTGTGATGGTTGTTCTTATTTAGTGAAACGGTAACGAATAGAATCTTTGGACAGTCGTCTCTTCATCTGCCGAGCGAAAGACCTTTAGCAGGCCCTTTGATATTCTATATAAATATATAGATTGAGAAAGACTTTGACATATTACTGATATGGTTATTTTTAGTGTGTTAGATTTATTATGAATACCTTTGAAGCTGCAAATAAATTTGAACTGTGGTTCAAGTCTTGCGACCATAAAACATTATTGAGCTCTAAACTTTAAAAATTAGAAAACTAGTTTGAAGGCTAATAATTTAAATCACATAATCTTGAATCTCCTGTAAGGGACTCAACCAAGTATTCAAATAATGGATTAAAAAATTAGGGAAGATCTACAGTGTTAGACATCCTGTAGGCATTGATATTTGATACAAGTATTTCTTCTATAAAATCAAAATCAGAAAAAAAAAAAAAAAAAAAAAAAAAAAGTGGATTGTCTTGCATTTTCTTTAATGTTTACAAAAGTTAATAGAACCATTTATACCTTAATTAGGGTTGTGGTGATAAATTCACCCAATGACCAACAAAATCAAATATTCTGTCAGCAAAGAAGTATTTTAATGGTATACCAACAGTTTTTCTTCTGCGTTTCAGGAATCCTGGGCCATCGTCAATGAATAGTAAGACTTATTTGTAAAAAGAACAAAGAACAAAAAAAAAAAATATATATATATATATATATTTAACACCAACATTATCGAATACCTTGGGCATTTGATCACCTCGAATGGGGTTAAAACAAGTACAAATAATATGCAATTAACCGCAGCTCATTACAGGCAAAGGAGTCTAAGTTCCTTGGCCAAAGCTATGTAGTTGTTGAACAAATAGAAATTCCAATTATAAGTACAGGCTACACATGCATTCGAAGTCCTGAGAGAGGCCATCAACGGAGGAGAGAGTACAGGGAGTTTGCCAAATTTTAGCAAGGAGTTTGTGGTGAAAATTGATGTCAATGTAAAAGCTTTTTAGCTTTTTATGTACAGGGATTTATTGCCCAACAAAAACACTTGGCTACCATCTATTTATTTTATCTTGGGTGGGAATCCCACAAATGAGAAGAGATTAACTATGTGATCAAGAAGAGATTAAGAAAAATTAATTTAAGTAGAAACTATTTAAATTGCAAGTTGGTCTTGAAAAAAGCCCCATATATCCTTATCATAATAACTTCCCATCTTTCCCAAACAAAATCTCCTCAAAAAATGTTTATCCGACTCCAACTCCCTCCCCCTCCCTCCCCATTTTCCTTCCTCCCTCGCTCCAACGTTCCATCACTTTCTCTCCCCACATCCCCCGACTCCGGCCTCCTCTTCCGTCGGAAACTTCTTTACCTCCAGGATCTCAACATTGATACTCACAAAGCTCTCCGCCTCAACCCTTCTCTCCGTTCTACGCCTCTCTCTTCTCTTCTCTCCGTCGAGCACCTTCTCTCCTCCGTCGGCATCTCTCGTCCTTCCCTCGGCCGCATCCTCGACATGCATCCCATCCTCCTCACCTCTGATCCCCGCTCTTTCATTCTCCCCGTCCTCCACTTTCTCCTCCAAGAAGTCCCTATCCCCTCCTCCGACCTCCCCAAATCCATCATTCGCTGCCCTCGTCTTCTCGTCTCCTCCGTTTCTTCTCAGTTGCGCCCCACTCTCTCCTTCCTCCGCTCCCTCGGCTTCGTCGGCCCCAACGCCATCGACTCCCACACTACCCTTCTGCTCGTCTCCAGCGTCCCCCTAACTCTACAACCCAAAGTCGAGTACCTGCAGGGCCTCGGATTCTCCTGGGAAGAGGTCTCCAACATGGTTGTTCGGTCGCCGGCGCTGTTGACCTTCAGCGTAAACAACAATTTGGTTCCCAAGACGGAGTACTTCGTGAAGGAGATGGAAGGGAACCTGGCGGATCTCAAGAGGTTCCCGCAGTACTTCTCGTTTAGCCTGGAGAGGAGGATTAAGCCCCGTCACCGGCTGCTGGTCGAGCATGGCTTGTCGATGCCCTTGTCCAACATGTTGAAGGTCAGCGATGGTGAGTTCAACGCCAGGTTGATCGAGATGCGGTTGCGCTCAGTTGACAGATGAGACATGTAGTCATGGTAAGCTCGCTTGCGGCTTTTGTGCTTTTTCTTTTTTTAAAAAAAGTTCTCTACTTTTGATGGAATGAAAAAGAAAAATGATGTTCTTACTCTCTGTATATTCTACTATACATGTGAATAATTTAATTCAGTGAGAGTTAAATGAATTTCCTGATTTAAAAAAAAAAACGAACTACCACAACCTCGTAGACAATAGAAAATGATTAGCAGGATCCTTTTATAGGCTGTAATTTAGAGAAGCTTTGATATATTATACTGCAATGCATCGATACGATATAACATAGCCAATTGAACTGAAAGTATCTGATTACAGCATGTAGAAGGATTGTTTGGTAGGTCAAAAGTTCAATGCTAAAGTTATGAAATGTTAAGCTTTATTTTGGTGAAAGTTATCAACGTTTTACTGGCATTTCTAAGGTACCAAATATTTTGAGGTGCCAATAACTCATGATGTGTAGCTTGTTTTATTCTCGTACTACTAGTGGCTACTCTGTTTGATTACTAACAGTTATTCTTTTTGGCTATTATTTCTTTGGTGATGATGATTACCATCTTTGGCTATCATTTGATTCAGTTTTTGTGGTTATTTCTGTTTTGCCAAAAACAATAATTAATTGTAGCCAAATAAATTAACAATGTGTAGCTATACGTGGCCAGCTGGCAATTTGATATCTATAGATAGATAAGTACTTTCATGAATTGGTTTCTCAAATACTTTGAGCTATTAGAATTCCCCAGATTTTATATTGGATAGCTACTAAATTGATGGTTGCTTGTGAGTTTCATTCATTGGGCTGTAAGTAATCATTTTTGTATGTTAATGATAGATTTTCATTTGCTACTGGAATTTGATTGCTGTGGAAATTTCTACTATGTCATTTATTATAAGGATGGTAGAAGCCTGGCGGTTTGTTTTTGCAATTTCATCTGGGCTTTGGCTGACATGCTTAAGAAATGAAATGGAAAGTCCATGATAGGATAACTGAATATTGTGCTTTGAGGATATTTTTCTGCACCGAAGACAAGAGTTGGTTGTGATTCCAAAGGGAAAATTACTGGTTATCTTCCGGAATTTTAGCAAAAATGTCTCATGGCCACAGCAAGCTAAACCCATGTCAAGGAAATGAAAATGCCTCTTCATATCTTGTTATTTGCCAATTTAGCCAGTTTGCTGCCATGTACTGCTATTATGGGAATCCTCTGTTGGTTAGGATGCTTGGAATCTTAGAAGATATAACATAATGAATTAAAGGAGAAAATGGCATCACAATAGCAAGAGACTAAATGAAAGAAATCGTGTTAATTCACTTATTTTTGTGCTGCTGGTTTATCATTTTCCAAGAATGTTGACATATCAATTTCCATCAACTTATCCAGATCATGTATTGATTTTACTATGAGCATCATTGTTGTCACCTTTCTTAATGGCATTTCATCCTTATGTAGTATATTCTTTTACAGGATTTCTCTAATTATATTTTCTTAAGGTTTCTCGGGTAATAGTTAAATGTGTGGTTTCCTCTATTATATCTTTAAGGTTCTTGCTGCTAAAACTAAATGTAATTTTCTCTCGTACTTGGTTGTATTTTTTGGTACCCATTTTTAGCTTTCTTAGTTATTCAGTAGTTTTTTTGGTCTTCTGGGTGCCCAGAGGTGTCTTGAACAACATTTTGGGTATGTGAGAATGTTTATGGGATTTTTGGTTCCTAAACATTTTTGGGCTTTCCAAGTACTTGGAGGGATTTTTCAGGATATAGGGCAACATTTTTGGACTTCCCAGATATCTGGGAACCTTTTTAAGCTTTATAGCTATCTGTAGGTTTTTTTTTTAAAAAAAATACATTTTTCAGGTATCTATAAAAATTTTTTCGACTTTCTGGGTAAGAGTAATTATGTACTTGTCAGGTATCTTCATATAAGATGTTCAGAGACAGGTTTTTCCAGTAAACAAAAGCATTTTTGGACTCCTCAAGTCGCTATTTGTATTTCTAGACTTTTTTTACTCGAGCATGTTTAGACTTTTTTCCTGGTCTAGTGACATTTTAGATTTTCTATATGTAATAATATAGATGTGATTATATTGCATATTATTTCATTAAAAAAAAAAAAGATGTGATTATATTGCATAATTTTGGACATTTGTGCTATCAAATATGATAATGCAATGAACAATTGCATTATATGATTATTATTTTCATTGATATATGTAAATATTGTAATGCAATGAATTATTATATTACATTGTATTGCATTACAAAATTAATTGTGTTGCATTATATTTCAAAAATTTTATTTCAACCAAACATGTATGTAGAATGAATTTGAGTCCTTAATTAGAATTATGTGTTGGATCAGATATCCATGGTTAAACATTTTTGTAATTTTTTTAGTTTGCAAATGTACTGTTGTCCAGATGATATCTTTGATCTGTTTGGCATCCTTAGTACTAGTTAGTTTAGAGGTTAACTTTAGGAATGAATTTGGATTTCTTCCTTTGTCATCTGCTATCAGGAATTTGGATAAAAACATACTTGTCCTATTAATTTATTGATATATCGGATCCCATTATCCTTTTAGGACAAGGATCATTTGGATTTGTTTCTGTTCCTTATTTTAAATAATATTTTGCTTTTCATAGATATTGTAAGACAGAGAGAAAATGGGAAGAGGTAATCAAAGTGGGAAGTGTATATTTCATTATCAGTAGTGGGCGCTATATGCAGCAGCCATTAGGTTACTTGGCTGTCAACGTAGTCCTTAATGGTTGGTTTCTGACATGCTTTTTAAGTCACGTAGTCAGTGTCTTGTTCTGTGAATTATGTGCCAAAAATTTTATTGGCGACATCTCTTTCTTGCTGTTCATGTGTGTTTGTTGTCTTTTCTCTTTAGAGAATCTTGCTTCATTTTGTTTTGCTTTTCCTTTTAGAACAATGGTGTTAACTATACGAATATGTATTTCCAGTACAATTTCTTATGCAAATTTGTGGTAGATAATGTAAACACAAAAGGGTAAGTAGTTTAATTTGTATAAACTGTTTACATATGCAGTAAATTTTTTTAGTGAATGCATTTTACGAGCCTAAATGCATTTTAAAAGCCTAGCATTCCAAAATTGTCCTGCAGAATCCGGCCTAGGTCAGGTCAGTTTGGATTATTTTTGTTTAACTATATGATAATTTGGAGGTTGTATTTTGCTTGGTCTCTGTTTATCTCACAACGAAAAATAAATTTCTCATTCCAATTTCGATTCAAGTGTGAATGGAATTGATATCATCTTTGTGCAAAGTATATGTGATTCTATCAAATGGAATTTCTCCTAAACCTGATTCGACAAGTGAATTTATATTAGTTTAAGGATTGAATAGTCTCTCAGGTACACAAAATATTGAGAAATGTCACTGAGTACTCTTTAGGCTCTTTTTCTTTGACTTAGAATTGTGCTTTTTTTTTTTTTTTGGTGGGGGGGGGAGACAAAAAAGTGGACGATGACTATCATTTGGTTAATCAAGCCCGGAGATGTATCATAATAGTGTAGGTATAAAAGCATTTATTAACTCAAAGAAAATTTAGTTTCCTAGTCCCTCAAGAATGTGATGGTGTCGCATTGAATCTATGTTGAAGAAGCAATTTGGCTGGGCGTTCTAATTCTCTCTGGCCAAGCAAGATCTACGCCTTTAACAATGTCATGGAGCTCAATGAATAAAGGAGTGCTGGATCCGATGCCAATCATGGAAATAAAAGTCAATGACATATCTGCCATTATCAGAGCAATGGTTGAAGTGTTATTACGGCCCCCATAAAGAAATCCATTGTTGTTGAGCTTAATCTAATTCTGAGGGGGAGCATTCCAGCTTATGTCTACAATGTTGCCAATATGGAGCAATTTTAGTGATGATTGCAGCGCAAGATGAAATGTTAGTTTCATGGCCCCTCGGATGGACGGACGGACGAAGAACTAAATGAAAATGATAATTGGAAGAAGAAGATGAAAAATAAACATCCAGTTCAGTTTTTGTGTTTGGTGAGACAGAAAAATAAACATTAATGGAGGAGGGTGTAGCATACTTTTACCGTACATGTTATTGCTTATTTATGCGGTACAAAATATTCATGTAGTTTCTATATCAGTATGTTCTTTTTTAGTATGATCTACAAAATTGTTTTATATTTTATAAACAACCTGAAATCAGAATATAGCCTTTTTAGCCAATGTATTACGCAAAATGATTAAGATAAATAAATTAATTAAATATATATATATATATATATAATTTACAAATAAATATTTAAATAATGGTTAGTTTTAAAATTATTATTATATTTTATTACACCAATATTTTTGGATGCAAAATTTTTGTCTGAAAAAAAAAAAAAAAAAAAAAAAAGATTATCCCCGTCTCTCTCAGCTCGTCTTCAACATCAACTTTCTGCCCATCCCGTCTCCCCTTTTTTCTCTCTCCATTTTTGGCAGCAACAATCCATCTCTCTATATTATATCATCTTCAACATCAACAATCTCGTCTTTAACAACAACAACATTCTCTCTCTCTCTCTCTCTTACACTTCAACAAAACAATTCAAAAGCAACTGATGTTGGGGGTACTGGTTAAGCGATTAAGATTGGAAGAAAGTGACAGGAGAAATAGAATTTAGAATAAATTTTTTGTCCCAAGCAACTGTGGACAAAATTTAATTTTCTGTCCAAAATCTGACGGCATCATCGTATTGAAACACGATCAAAAGTTGATATTGAAATTTGAGAGTAAATAAAACATTTACGGGGGTGTAGGAAGTTAATTTAGTATGAGATAAAAATAAATAAAAAAAAAAAAAAAAAAAAAAAGGAATTAGTTGAAGGTGAATGAAAGAGGAAGGGAAACAGGAGGAGGGTCTACGCACGTGGAGAGGTACATTCAGTGGTTCAGAAAGGATAAGAAGGTAAATGACAAATAATATATTAGTAAATAGAGACAATTCAATTCCCTCTTATGTAACAAAATCAATACCCGCCTGTCGCTCTGCTCTGTCTCCTCTCTTCTTACACTTTTTAAAGAGTTTTTCAGTTGGTCAGCTCTCCATTATAATTTATATTTACCATGACTGGTAATTTCCAAGTCTCTGGCTTTCAACTTCCCTCTCCTCTTCTTTCCCTTTTGAGGGACGCCTTTCAATACAACAATCCCTATCATAATTATTGTGTATTTTACTTGATTTAATCCAAATCTTTCACCGTGCTGACAAATAAGATCACGCATTTAATAACGCTTTTCCCTCATCATCTCATCGTCACCTGTTAATTTGGGTCTTTTTATAATCTTTCACCATGACTCATGCTTACACTACAATCTAAATGCAATCTACGATCCTTTGCTCGTCGTACCATCATCAGATGGTGATTAATCAAGTGGGTTATTTGTTTGTGTCAGCCTAAGGTAATTAATATTTGCATTTTTATCACTATGTATTATCATGCACCTCTTGTAATTGTTGTACTAGGTAATTATTTTTTAATGCATTGTTCGTAGTGTCAAAAAGATCTCGATGCAAAACGGCAGACCAAAAATAAAATATTCTTAGTGATATGTGTAGTATATTTTTAGTCATGAAAATTTTAAAAATTAAAGTAAATTGTTAAAAGGTCTGTGGTTAATTTAATGGTCGAAATTAATGCAGGCATTTAGGAGACATTACAGTATTACCCATATATATTATATACATGTAAGTAGATCTGACACGAAATCAGCATTTAATTTTGTTTTTGTTTTTTTTTTTTTTTTTTTTTTTTATATGCCACCTTTTACTGATTATGACGTGTTAGAGTTGGAACGCTCAATAATAATCTAATCTGGTTTTTACGAGGCGTAGAAGCATCTAGTTGGCAGGCTATATGTACCCTTCAAATTTTAGAAAATGAAGTGGCTTAAAGATATTTGTCTTACCCTATTTAATGTTAAGAATTATGTTATTTTATGTATAAAATAATCTATTCACTATTTATAAATCAATTTTCTGATATTATTCAATTTAGATTTAGAGATATATGTTATTTATTTAATAAATATTATCGACTTTGGCATATTTTTTTTTTTAAATTAAAAAAATTCTTTTATTAATACCAGAGCTCATATCATTTTTTTTTATTTTTTGTATTACTATCACTAACTATTACTATCATCACTATTATAGTAACAATCATATTTACTATCGTATACATTATCATAGTTACCGTCGTAATCAATACCTTAACTATAATTACATTTAAACTATTATTCTTACTACTACTGTCATTGATAATATAATTGCTATTATTTTTTTCTATCTATCGTTATATGCTAGTTGCTACTCTTATTGTTGCATACAATGTTATTATTATTGAAATTTTTTTTTTTATTTTTTGATGTTGTTTCTAACCATTAAACAAGTTTTTGATGGTCATTTATATTATTATTAATTTATAATTAATATTACTTTATTAAATATTTATTTTTATGAAAAGTTTGAAAAAGTAAATAATTTATATCCTTTCAAGAATTTATAGGTAATAAGCAAAACCAAATTAAAAAAAAAAATAATACAAGTAATCAATTTAACCTATCAATTATAGATTACATTGCAATTGAGTATTAAATTTTTCTTTTCATATTTTGGTATTTAAATTTATAAAATTATTTTAGAATATGATTTCTGTACAAAAGTTAGTCAAATTTTGTTCTATCTTGCTTGATTAAGACAAAAATGACTTTAAAAAAAAAATAAAATATTTATAGTTAATGCGAATTAAAAGTAGAATTCAAAAAAATTAGTTATTGAAGCCTTTCTTCCTTGATGTTTATTACAAGTATCATGCAGATGAGTTAAATGAAAATCAGATTACTCTTTGTCTATTAAAGTTAATTTCTTGTTATTATAATTCTTAAGTTGTGTGGAAAATAGAAATGTTGTGAAAATTCGTGGGTGACGTAATGAGAAAGCTTGATGACATAAAAAATAACTAAAAGCATATAATTAATAAAAATTGTTAAAAAAATAAAATAAAAATAAATAAATAAGAAGATTCACAGGGCGTAAAAACAGTGAAGGAAAAGGAAAGCGATAGAATGAAAAAGAATAGGCAATAGACATGGGCCTCCTCCTAACTTAAGGTGTCGAATCAAAATATGACAACATTAAAAACAGACTTTGTTCACTTCCCAACATATACATACACCCTTAATGTCTGTCTCATCACAATGTTCACATGCATATGATATAACCATGCTATAAATGGTAGGTAGGTATAGACTCCACTTGTATTTGTTCTCCTCTCCTTATGTGTATATATATATACACATGCATTTTACATATATATTTTTTTTGTTAATTCAAGTAATAGATGTTGTAAATTGTATTAAGATAACAAATAAAATTGAATTTACATAAAATTGTGTAGAATTTCATTATAAATTTAATAACTTTTGAGACGTATTGTGATTGCATTGTTATTCGTATTATATAAAATTTCTTGATACATTTAATGCATGAGTTTTAATCTCGTGATCTCATAATTAAAAATTAAGACTTTCGATTTATTATAAACAAAGTGCAAGGGAGGTGTAAATTATGGAATTCCTTGTGAAAACAAAACTAACGATTTTTATTTATGTCTTTCCAGGTTCAAATATTTTAAAAACATAAATATTTATTTTTGTTGGTGGTAAGTTTGGAATTTATTGTAGTATGCCAAAATTTTATAGTTACAAAACTCAATAAGATAATTACATTTTTTTTTCAAATGTTTTAGTTTCTTTTCATTTCATTAGTTTAAAATATGTAAACATAATTTTATTATTTTAAAATTTTTACTGTTAGGAAATATAAGGAAATAAAAAAAATATATGGGTAACTAAATTAAAAAGGAAAAACATTATTATAGTTACTTTAATAATTCATCAATTTGCTTATTTAATATTTACCCCATTAAAAAAAAATTACAAAAAAGAGCCCAAAATATGAGTAGTACAATGTCAATGGGCTTGAGCTAAGTGGGCCTGTAAGTATTTTTTTTTTGCAGACATGTAAACACAAAGCTTATCTTTCCTTAATTAATGCATTATTTATTAGTGAAATAAATAAGATAATTAAATCGTTAAATAGATACACACACAAAAGTAAATGGTAGAACTGTTTTCTAGAGAGATGGGTAATTTATTCTTAGATGTTTGTTTCTTGGAGATGTGGGAGTATTTGAATATTAGGCACTAATTTGATTTTAATATTAAATTACATCCGATAATCACTCAAATTATGAACAAAAATCTGTTTGTTTCTTTTTTTCTTTTGTAATTATTTGTTGTTTACTTTTTTATGACCAATAATTTTAACTTTAACCTGTTGTCAAAATTTTTATAATTTGGAATAGTAAAACAAAAAAAAAAAAAAAAAAGAAAAAAATTTACTATAAATTTTTATGGCATATCAGTTTGAGCAGCATAGTGGTGGACCAAATTAGCTGGGAAGCTAATGGGCATCTAAAATAGGCAGAGGTGTTACGAACAAGTGTTAGATATGTGAAGTCATGTTTTGAAAGTATTTGACCAAAGACACTGTGCTCTTCCCTTTTCACCTTCCACCATTAATTTATTTTACTTGTGTCAATGGGTTTCCCCCCATTTCTTTATTCTTTTTGTGAATTCAGATCACATAACTGGTTTTCCAGTTGCTCAACTGTACTACTGTTGAAATATATATATTATTTATATGAATACATAAAAGAGACATTCCAATTTCCTGCCATAATTTCCTTGGGCAAGGTTTTTAGGCACTTGTTAAAAAACATTCTTCTCTTCTTGAAAATTATATACAACATTTTTATGTGTGTATGTAACTTTTAATGAAATAGGGATCTGAAAATAATTTTTCCATACAGAGGAATAAATAATACATAGGGTCTACTGCTACCGTCTATGCACATGAAAACAATACTCAATCAATCTCAGTTCTCAACTTTGGACCTTTTTATCTTTAAAGTATTCAAATTTGTCGGTCAAAGACACATGACATTATAATATGTGTATATATACATACATATATGTATCAATCTCAGCATGTAGTTTTGACCCATTTATCTATTAATTGAATCAAATCAGAAATGCATTTTACTCCATATGGGTAACTTTTTAACTGCTTTTTCTCCTATTTTCTTACACAAATAGGAAAAGAGAATCTTGGTTTATGGCAGAATTAATTAATTACAGATTATAATTAACAGATCAGAAAGAATCCAAGTAAAGCAATGATGTTTTAGGACTGTTAAAATTGGTTGTCAAGGAAGAGACATAAATCAAGCAATTTTTGGAATGAAGTATGAAAAAACTAGCCTGATAATTTGAACTCTCATTCTGAATTTAATATTAATTAACCATCAAAATAAAATAAAATAAAATAAACTAGTTAGTGACAGGAGGTGGTGTGTTGTGCTCTCAATTTCTGGCTTGAAAAGATAGGTGTCTAGACCTGTACAAGCTGAAGCTAGCACACATCAAATTAGACTCTTTCTTGTCAATATACAGACAGACAGTCTAAGAACCTTTAAGCCCACGAGACTCCCCCACACGTGCGAGTGATGTCTGATTTCCTTTTTTTTTTTTTAAAAAAAAAAAATTAATATTATAAGAGTGAACTAGTTAGATTTAAAAAGGGTTGGTTGTTAACTACTTTTAAGCATTTGTTTTTACACTCTTTCATCAGGAATCGGCCATGAGATATCACAAGGGAACTCGTGTGTGTTTGTAGGTTTATGTTTTTTTCTAAAAAATTAAAGAAAAGAACCCTTTTGCTGTTTTTGCTCTTCTCTTCTCCAATTCTCCTTGTTGAACTTCTTTTCTTCTCTTTAAATTTTCAAGGAGGAGGATGATGACTTTTTAACAGCATTTGTCAGAGAGGAACCAAGACATGGATAACAAGTGTGTTTTATATGCGACAGATAGCACAAATGGTCTTACTTGCTACTCTTCCACTACTTCATCCTCTTCTTCTTCCTCTCCACTGGCTTTGGTTTATGCAGACATGGGTTCCCTCTCCCTAAGTCCCAAATATGGGGTAGTCCCAACCCTTTCCTCTTCTCACCAAAACTACGGCAGCCTTGATATTGAAAATGGGAATAGTTCTTGGGTTTTTCCTTTCAATGCTAGCTGCTCAACAAGGAACTTTGAGGAGCACCACAACAGTAATGTTGTTGATTTCAGTGATGGGTATGGGGAAAACAATGAGAGAATTAATCTTAACGAAGACCATCCTAATGATCAGAACATGGAAAATGGCAAGGAAACAGATAGTGGGCAGTCAAAACTTTGCGCCAGAGGACATTGGCGGCCTACTGAAGATGCTAAACTTAAGGAACTTGTTGCTCTTTATGGTCCCCAGAACTGGAACCTCATAGCTGAGAAGTTGGAAGGAAGGTCAGGTAATATAGTGGGGGCTCCTCTGTGTTCTTGTTTCTTCACTCATTTCATTAAAGCTTTGTTTGTTTTCTTTTTGAAAGATATGTATTTATATATATATATATATATATATATATATATCTTGTTGTGTCTTATTTGTAAAGTGATGATTAGTGTTGCCTTATTATTTTGACTTTTTGTTATTTGGAATTTGAAGGTAAGAGCTGTAGACTAAGATGGTTTAACCAGTTGGACCCAAGAATCAATAGAAGAGCTTTTACAGAAGAAGAAGAAGAAAGGTTGATGCAAGCTCATAGACTTTATGGAAACAAATGGGCAATGATAGCAAGGCTGTTCCCTGGAAGGACTGATAATGCAGTGAAGAATCACTGGCATGTAATAATGGCCAGGAAATATAGAGAACAATCTAGTGCTTATAGGAGGAGGAAGATGAACCAATCTGTGTACAGAGGAATGGATGAAATTCCAAGCACAATAACAGATCAACCACAAGATTGTTCTCTCAGTATCCCAAGAAGACGATTCAGCAATATCTCTCCTTTCCCATTTGGAAGCTTCAATGGTGGGGGAGGCGAAGCATTACCAGGCTCTGGCTTTCCTCCACAACAAACACCTTTTCACTTCTTCTCCGGTTAGTATCCTCTCCGATCTTTTCTATCTTCTCATTTCGTTTATGCATAACGTTTCCTCTTGGGTTTCCTTTATGAAAACCCAACCTCCTTTTTTCTTTAGATCAAGGGAGGAGGGGGTTCTCTAGTCTTAACTTTTTTTGTTTTGTTTTGCAGTTAAAACCAACCCGGTGTTCATTTATTTGTTCACTTTTATAGACATTGACTGACGCTACTCCCCTTTTCACTTTACCTCTCCTTTATTGCAGCTTTAAAGTCTTAAATCCTCTCTGCAGTTATGTTCGTTTGATTTTTAGCTCACTGGTTCTTCCCATCTTGGTTATTGGCTGTGATTTTCAGGTTGTAATAGTGATGAAGTTATGGGGATTTTTAGGCAGAGCAGAGTTTGGGATAGGCCAGTTGATGAACCCCACAATATATATACCCAACACAATCCGCCATACATGATGGCAATACAACAGTCAGATTTACAAGTGCTTCACAGCTTCTCAGACTGCCCAGCACATCAAATTTCAGCAAGTGAAGCTTCAACATCAGTTGCCCCAGCAAGTGGCCACAATCATGACACGGTCTCACCACCATTCATCGACTTTCTTGGTGTAGGAGCCACATGAAGAAGAAGAAGAAGAAGAAGAAGGTGAAAGGGTTGTCAATTTATTATTGTTATTATGATTATTTTTTACAGAAAGATGAGTTAATGGGGATGTTTTCCAAGATAAAGTGAGAAGGGGATTAGAGGTAAAAAAGGATGTGGTTGTTCCAGTAGGATGACAGCAGAAAATCTCTGCAACAAAGTGTGTTTGAAGTCACATCCACACCATCTTTCTGTTTTATGTTATGAGACCCTTTCTAAAAAAGATAGAAGGATTGTGTTATTATTGTCACGAATAATATTCATTTTCCCTTTTTGTTGTTTTCTTTTCTAGTTGATTTTCCAGAGAAGCAAGAAAGAAAAAGAAAAAGAAAAGAAAAATTAGTAGTAATAAGTTGTTTGGGAAATGGGGAGATGATGATGAAGCCAAAGAAAACAAAACAAGAAAGTGAGGAGTTCTAGCAAAACATCATTTTCCCATGGACCTGCAAAATTCAGGCACAAATTCTGCAAACACACAATGCATTCATGATAGAAACTGTTCAACATCCTTCCTTCATCAGCAGAATCTTTCATGCCACCCACATGGGGATGGGGGTCGTGGGTCGTCTCAACTCCTTTTTACCTTCTCATTCACTAATTTTTCAACTCGTCTTAAATGCTTACTCCTTCCTCTTTCCCCACCCAACTCTTTTTAATACCCTAATTAATCTACTTTTTAATTTTAATCTCTTTTTATTTTTTTCCAAAGTGGACTTGAGAGATACTGAAGTTAAAATTTATAAATTAATATATATATATATAGATAGAGAGAGAGGGAATTGAACCGTTGGATTTATTGGGCTGACGACCCAATAACTTTGAAGCCCAGTTCGATTATCTTTTTCATTTTTTTTCCCCTCAAATTAATAGCAACGTGATGATTTGGAGGAAGTCAAATCCATAATTTTTGGGGAAGAAATATTGGACTGTAACAGATGAATTTCATTATATTTGGGCTCACAGATTAATTTTTGTGACAATAAAAACGGTAATAATAACAACAAAAATAATGGAACAATGATAACCAAAACTAACGATAATAATAATAGAAATTACGATAACAATAATTTAGAGTAATGGTAATAATAATAATAATAATAATAATAATAATAATAATATCAATGGTGCTGATAGAGTAGTGGAGATAAGATTATAATAATAATAATAGTGGTTGTAGTGTCACCAATAATTTTACATGTGTTAATAACGATATCAATTAAAATAACATTGATGGTGAGAATTACAAAGAAAGTAGTGACAATAACATATATAACAGTAATAAAAGTGGTAATATTAGGAGTGATAGTAGTGATAACAAAAGTAGTAATAATGTTTGTGACGATAAAAGTGACAAGTGTAGTGGTCATGTAACATTGTGATGCCGATGGTGGTGATGGTTAGTAATAAATCATCATTAAAGTGACAATGATTATGATTGTAATAATAATGACAATGATAATGAGATGATAGTTATAACAATATTGAGAATGTCATTAGGATTGCAATTAGTCAATTTAAACATTTTTCATAAGTTAATAATGAAATCAAGTATCTTAGCATTTACATATTTATATATATGTATGCATATTGAAATCTTGTAACCATTTACATGATCATGTATACTATTTTTTTTCTCAATTCCTAATTTACAGTATATATTACTTAATATCTTTATCACATAGTATATACTATTTAAAATGTAATGCTTCTCCCAGTGGATTGTTATAAATATTTAAGATATTTTTTATTGATTTTAAAAACATATAGGTTGCATGCGATACATATTGTAAACTCTTTTGTTGTGGCAAATTTAATTCGGAATACGAAATCAAATGCATCTAAAGAAAAAAGAAAAAAATTAAGGTTAAACCTCAATTTTTTTGGTGAACTTTATGGGCTATAATCTCAATTTTCTATAGTCTTATTTCATCATGCACCTGGTTAAAGAATTATATTTTAGAGTCGTATAATATAATATATGTCATCTTTCAAATATTGTTATCAGCATTAAGAAAAAAAAAGTATCGAACGAAAATAATAATAATAAAAAAGATTATATTATGCAATGCACGCTAACTCAACAAGATACAATATGACCAAGAAGCTTTCTAAGCCAAAATGAAGAGAGCATATAAGATACAAACTAAAGACAAAATTTATAATGTTTATTTCATTAGAACAAATTACTTAATTTACTAATATATTATTATAACTGCGGTGATTAAATTGAATTAAGATTATTACATTTCTTGGGGCGAAAAGAAAATAAAAACAGCGGCAAAAGAAAGCAAAGAACATGCAAAAGCAAAAACAGACCCAAAAGTTCATGGAATGGCTAACCCCCACCCTCCCCTCTTCTTTTTTGGGTCATTTTGTCAAGCAGTTGGTGTACACTCCCACAAGCTGATTCCATCGATTTAACCGGACTCTCTTTCCCAAATTAATTTTCAGGTAAACCACGAGGCAAAAAGAAAAAAACAAAATGATAAATGTAGACGGAAACACATTCAATCGGTAAGTAAACACATGCAAAAAGAACCAAGTAAAACAATGAAAAGGGTGTCTATCAATTTTCATATAAGATAAGAGGATGGAAAATATTAAGCTCTCTACAATTTAATTAATCCAAACATCTCCACAACAAAAGGAAGTACAAAGAAGGAATCGTACCGAAAATTCACGGCTTGTCTTCTGAATAAAACGGTTGAAGAGGATTTGAAAATTTGTCGGATAAGGCGGGCAGTTTTTTATTTTAATGGGCTTAAAATTGGTCGATTTGGGCTTTGTGATCAACTCTGAGGCTTCCAATAAAGTGGGCCTTTGAAAATAGACTTTCTCCTTTTTTTTTTTTTATAAAGGAAAACGTATTTTCTGGGCTTTTAAAATTAATTTTAATGTTGTTTCAACAAAAAATAAAAGTAGCTAAATATTGAAAAATTGAAGAAAAATTACTAAAAATTTTAGCCTAAACTCAAATCCATGAAATTACTGAAAAGATCAATAGAATCAATATATATATGTGTGTGTGTGTGTATATATATATATATAGAATACCGAAAAATATCACATAGTATTTTCTTAAATTTTTTTAAAAATAAAAAATAAAAAAATAAATTAATATTGATTATAATATATATATATACACACACTATATAAAGATAATATTATCCACTTAAATTCTAAAATATAAAAATAAAATTAATGTGATAAATATAATTAATCATTTTTTACAAAGATAAAATTTTAAATATTGTATACTCAAACTTTAAAATACAGCAATAAAATTAACATGACAAATTGCAATTATGACTCGTATACAATATAAAATGTAGATATAGTTTTAATAATAAAGTATCAGTAGTTTACTTGAGATAAAATAAAGTCCACAAAGTCATCCTTTAATAATAATAATAATAATATTGTAAGGAGTCTAAGATGCCAAAATTTTTCCGCAAGGAATTTTGATTTCATCGCTTCATACTTACTGAAAAATAAGACCTATTAGATTCAACCAAAGTATTGGTAAAGAAAATTTTGAATTACTTTTTTAACTCTTAAACTGAAAATAGATTAAAGTAAAATAGTATTCGGAGGTATTGTATTGAGAACTGGAAACAACTCAAAAAAAAAAGGAAAAGTAAAACATGACACAAAAGAATATATTAACTACATGAGGCGTTGCATGAGGAGCAGCTGTCGCCAACACCGAAGCGACGTGGAATCAGCTCACTGCCACCCTCCGCCAAATGTAAAGCCCACGTCCATCAATATTTACGTATCGCCATCGTGCATTATCATACTAAATATATGTATAACCATGTTAAATGTTTCCAATATCAGTATATATACACCAACTAACCCCTCACCCAACATCATATACGTACATATATTCGATCAGAAATGGAAATTGGAAATAAAAGACTAATAAATTGTAAAGTTTACTTTACTTCAAGAGGGTAATATTGGATCAGGCGAAAGTTAAAACCACCCTCATAAAAGCCGCCAAAATTGCTTATACTCCGGAGTACACCCGTAAGTCGCTAATTGAGCACTTGTTGGCCTCTCCAGGAGGCACTAGCTGAGGAACCGGACCAAGAGAGAGCTCTAGCCCCACCTCCCCGTCTTCATTTACCACTGGCTGGGTCTTCGTCCCATTGACCGGTTCGCCAACCTTGTCTGGATCCACTGACGTGGGGCGGTTGAACCGGGTCCGTGTGGGCACCCTGTTCAGATTCTTTGGCAAGTGGCGCATGTCGTAGGAGTTAAGAGGAGGAGTAATCATGTGCGGCGCTGAGGAAGAATGTTGAGTGATAGGTATGCCATTGAGAACCGAATCAACGGCTGCCTGGCACTGCTTCCAGTTCCCGGACCACATCAAACCCAACGAACCATATACGGGATTCACAACTCGACCACAAGCCTCGAATAAGAGTGACCTGAATATAGCTGCGGAAATTGCACACGAATTAACTATATATATATATATATATATGTAGGGAGAAAGAGGAGGAGAGATGGTTATATATGGTACGCATACCAGGACGGAGGTGATGAGGACCGGCTTGAAGGAGATTAAGGAGACCAGCACGGCCATAGAACTTGGCGAGGAAGAGGGTGGCGTTGGCTTGGGAGTCAGGAGATTTGATCCAGTGAAGGCAAGGCCTAATGATGCAGTTATGAGTGCAGCCTTTGCGGAGGACCCTGCAGCCATTGCAGCTCAGTCTCATGGTGGGCGGAGAGAAATTGGAGGGGAGAGAGATTGGATTGAAAAAGAGATAGGGGGAGTGGGTTTATAAGGAATAGAAGAGAAGGTGAAGGAAAGTGAAAACCAGGGGTGCAAAAAGTGGGGGTTTCTTTTTCTTCTTTCAGTAAACTTGGGGGAATGGAATGCCCTGTTTGGAAAAAGCAAAAAGGCCAACCCTCTTTGAATTTTAAGCTTTTACTTGCTACGAAAACTGCCCTACATGCAAAACTTTATTTACAAATAAACCACTCTATAAATAATAATGCCTTTGTTAATGGGCCTGGAGGGGTTGGTTATAATGTATTGTAATTTAAGAGTAAAAAGAAGAGTCAATAATTGTGGGAGAAATGGAGGAAAAGAGAACGCATGTTTTATTTTTCATTAAAACAGAAAATGTAAAGTGATGCAGGTGCCCGGCACGAGTTGAGGCTGTGTCTCGCCATAACCTCTCTGTTTTACTAATTCCAGGTTTTGGGGAATCCGTACATTCCATTTCTTTTATATATATATATATATATATATTTGCTTTCTTAATTTGATGGATTTAATTTTCTTTCAAATCTCCCTAATTTAAGTAAATCATCTTTAATTACATGCCTCACCCAACATTTATTAACAAATTTTTTTGTTAAATAATTTTTGAGTAACTAGTTAATTAAATTAATAAATTGATAATAATAACAATAACAGACTTGATATTATAATTTAATTAATTAGTTAAATTTATATTTTGAGTTAGTTTTTTTTTTTAAAAAAAGCATTCGAATATAAAAACAAAGTTTAATTTTGATTGGTTAAGAATTGTATCATCTATAATTTTGATAATATATAATATAAATTATTAATTTGGAAAATTTAAATATAAAAATAAATTTTAATTTTTAAATAATTGTAATTTATGTATTATATAAGTAATTTTTACGATTATAATCTGTATTATAAATGTAAAATAGAAATTTAGTATATAATAAATAAATTATTGATCAAGTAAAAAAGAGGAAGTTTGAAGAGATTCGACTTTATACTCGCCGCACAAGAAAATAAATCACATTTTCGTGCAATTCAAAACATAAACCCCTCTCAGATTCATTGTTTGTTTGTTTGTTTGTTCTTTCTCGTTCTATTTTATAAATAATTGCAATATCAATGAAAAAACAAATTCATTTCAAACTTTAAAATTGAATTATTATTATTATATATTATAATAGTTTGGTCCAATCAGATAATTGCAGTGAAAGGACATCTCCTTGGTTAGCGGTTGAGCCTACACTCTCGTCAAATTTCTCCACACACATACTCATGATTTATTGGCTCCGTATCCCACTATTTTTCTTCTCCCTTTTAAGATTTTTATTAAAAGAAATATGTATAATCTACCCGAATTAATTTAAATAAATATGTATAATCTCCCACAAGGCAAACATAACTTTTTTTTTTTAACAAAAATCACATAAATATATATATATATATATATATATCAAAACATAAAACCACATATATTTACAAGAAACTAGCCCCCGACACCTACCATTAAAACCCATTCAAAAGACACCACCTCGGCCTAATTCAGTAAGAAAATGATCCACTAGGAGACTCGGCTAATTCTCAAGTCAAAAATATACTACTCAAATCTGAAATTTGGTTCCCATCAAATTTTGGTATCAAAAAGTAAATAAAAATATTATTTTAAAATAAATTTAATTTAATTTTATTAAATAATTAAAAAAATAAGTTAGAGATGTAATTAAAAGCAATTTTAAAAGAAAGAGATAAAAATTTAAGTTCGAATGATATTTTTGAACGAAAAATTAAAAATAGAAGGTCAAAGTGAAAAAAGAAAAAATTCGACCACGTAAGACCGCTCAGTCAGACGCCCGGGCGAACCGGAGTACGCCGCGTGGCAAGGCACGCTGATGCCAGTGCCACGTAGTCGATCTGCGTGCCTCACGATAAGACGATTCAAGATCAATTTTACGCGTGTGAACAACTCGGATTCATTTTTTCCTTAGGCACGATCGGATGATCGAGATCAATCACGATGAACAGTTCATATTCGTTTTCTCCTTAGGTACGATCGGACAAACTAGATCAATTGCGATGAACGACTCAAATCGATGCGGGATGAGTATAAATACTTCACGTCACACGGGAACTCAAACCTTAGCCGCCAGCTCCCGCCAGAGAAGAAGAACTAGACTCCGAAGAAGAAGGCCGACCGCTAACCGCCGTCGCACTAGAGCAACTGCCAGCTGCTAAAAGGTAAAAATTTTCTCTACACGCTCAGAATTCGATTCTAAGCACTCATGTGCCTAAATCGAAGTAAGAGGGACGACATGTGAGCTAAAAACCGCTGGAAAAATCCGTCGGAGCCACCACAGCCAAAACTCTAAAATCTCTCTGATAAGCCTCTTCTTGATTCTCGTTTCACACGATTTTATGATAATTGTATTCACTATCTTTTGCTTTGTAGGTTGGCCGAAGAAGGAACCTTAGTCGCAAGGGACCGGCAGAGCTGCTGCACCCGGTGACCCCCCGCTGGTAGGTTCAATATTTTTAGTAATTTTTCGGCCAACTGAGGCCCCATAACATATGTTTTCGTAGGAATACGTGTAAAATTGGCCAAAATTGGCCAAAACTAGCCTGATCGAGGTGAACTTCCACCGAAGAAGCCAACACCAAAGCATGGCGGTGCCGTTCTGGAACCCCAAAATTGACCGAAAAGAGTTTTGGATATCGATTTTAGATTTTTAGGGTATTTTTAGGTACGTGACAAGTGTTTTGAATTCTACAGAAAAAAATTAGGGAATCCAGTACCTGTTAGGAGGTGTGGTAGACAATGCGACGTCTTGAAACACCGATCCAAGTAAGGATTCCTCACCCTATTCTCCGTTATAATAAACTAAGGCTTAATGATGTACAATTTCGTATTTTTATAAAAAATTAAAAAAATTCTAAAAATAATTACAGGTTACTAGTGGAGTCGGAATCGGTTAGTTGAAAATTATCTTGATTTTTTATTTATTTTCCTGTACTGTCCTACTTACTTGATTTTCGTATGGTACACGTTCTTAATTTATAGTTTTAATAGTCTTATCAATTTATTTGATTATTTTAGTTATATATCGTCGGTATAAATATAGTTTAATTAATCTATAAATATAATATGAGATATTGGTATGCATTTGTCAGTTATTTATCAATGAAAATCTGTATGTGAAAGACTTATTGGATACCCAGAAAAAGGAGGACGAGCTCGGTATATAGGGAACCCTACCGTGAACGTTATCTCAGTCAGACGAAATTAAAAAGTCCCTTACCAGAAAGATTTGAGAGATATGGTTCACCCTTATATTAGACGGGGTATCGAGGGGATGAAATATTTGGTGCCCATTACCGAACGGGATATAAGAACGGTCGGTTAATCATAAAATTGGATATTGGATTCACGAGTGGGGGAGATATCCCTATGGACCCCTAGGGGTACCAGTAAGCAGGTAAAAAAGAAAAGTTATTGTCTCCTGTTCTTTTATGCATGAAAGTGAAAAGTAGTATGGATATAGATTTTTATAAATTATTTTTAAAAAACTCATTACGGTAAGTATCATACAAATGTTTTTAAGTTTAAAGGTATTTAAATAAAGTAAGGGCTTCATTAGTTATTTTTTTAATTTTTACCAATCTTCAATTTTCTGTATATGTAATTAGTGTGATATTCTTATTGGGCTAATATAGCTCATTCTTTCATTCACCACCCAGACTCTCTTCAAATGCAAGTGAAGATTATTCTAAGGTACTTTTATATTTGCTTTTCTTTTCGTTTCTTTAATTAACGTTTGTATTTTAGAAGAGATATTTCCGTATCCCTATTGGACATTCAAAATTATTCTATAAAAAATATAAACCCTAACTCTATTAATCGTTTCTACATTTAATTTTATGAATTCATTTTCTTTAAAGTTCCGGATTTTTACAAAAAATATCTCATACAGCCTACAGTCACTATATAAATAGGCTCAACAAAATCCTTACATATATAGGTGTGTAGTTATACTTTCATAACCATTTGTTAGGGCTACTTGAGATGTTGCATGATGCAAAGAGAAAATCGAGACTTGGACATGGTCTGGAGTTTATAGAATCACATAGAGAATAAATTTGTTATGTATCGAGGTTGTTGTAAAGGTAATGTAGGGGTTGATCCTTTGCATTTGCTAATATATGCCACCGTTACACTTATAGTCTCGATTATAATAGATAAAGATGTTGATATTGATACATAGATAGAATATATTTGTGTGTATGTATGTTTTTTCCCTTGAACTTATATTGATTCCACTATAGATATAGCAAATCGACCATAATAGATGCATAGAGGAAAATTTATTAACCTTCTTATCTTGGAGATGTTGATATTGTTTTCTCTACTAGTAATGTTGTTATCCACTTTAAAAGCAATAATTAAAGAGTAAAGATAATTTAAGACTGAATAGTGAAAGGAACTAGAGTACTTTTGTTAATGAGTATTCTAAGAGTAAATATATATATATATATATATTTTTTCAGTTTGCTCATTGTTACAGCATGCAAGAAGAAGAGAAAAAAACACATTAAAATGAGAGAAACCAAGTGGGGCATGAAGTAAGATCCTCCACCAATTGAGCTTATGTAAGGGAAATAGTTTACTTTTCCATAATAACTATCATTGAGTTTAGCTCAGGACTAATTAAGCAAGTGATAACATGATTTGATAGTATATGCCTAAGGACTTAATCATTACCTTTAGTAATCAGGAGCTTGAAATGAGTGAGGAAAGGGAATATTTAAAACCAAATTAACATAATATACTGAATATTATTTTAGGACACCATAGTGGTTTGATGTTTTTTTGTCCACATAGCTAAGTAATTCCTTAGTAAAGATGAAGTAGATGATATTTTTTCATCGCTTAATGGTAGCTCTAAGATTGAAGTAGGAAGTACATATATCCCATTACTTAACCT